TATATTATATTTTACAGCAATGGAGTGAAAAATATTTATTTGAGATAATTTTATATATGTAAATACAGATAAAAGCAGAGAGCGGTTGCCACATTATTAATTTATTTAAACTTACTTGTATAACCGATAAATTATATGAAAAATTATTAAACTATAGGTGTCAAGCTAAAAAATTTTCAAACAATTAATAATAGTTTTCGACACCACAGCTTTTTAGCCAACATCTCGAAATATTTGAGACACTTTCGACTCTTATAAATTGCAAACGCATTTAATGTGCATTCACACCCTTCTGCACTTGCTTTTAGTGTGGCTTATATAATTAAAGCTGTGCAGTGACAGCTGCGAGCTGCGCTATGTTTTTCCTTCAGCTATTTTATAAGCTATTAAATTGCCACTAATTGAATTTTATACCAACGTAGCGGGATACATTTATATACGTATTGCTGCAAGTACATTTAGATACGAGTATATGTGTGTGTTAGCAGCTTTCATTTTTTTGTAATGCGCTGGCAAAAGTTTTCAGCTGTACACATGCAACCGTGGAATTGAATTAGATCTGCGATTTCACTTTCTGCTGCAGCTTCTTTCCATTTTAATTTTTTATTATTTTTTGCTCACATTTAATTTGTAAGATTTTCTTTATCGCCTTTGGCCTACTTTTCACTTTCACTGTCACCGTTGTCATCCGCTTTGTAAGCTGCCATTATATTCCATTCATATGTATATGTATGTATGTATGTGTGTGGGCTAATATATAAATTTCTTAATCTGCCTTGTGTGTGCGACGCCGGGTTTTGCCTGTGCCATGAATGACTTTCTTTGTGCATTAAATGTTAATCTTGTTGTTGTTATTGTTGTTCCTCCGAATGCAGTTTTTATGGACTATCTACATGTGTTGCTGACATTTCAATATGTGTGCGATGCAACAACAAAGCTTTAATGCACTCGTGTGTGTGTGCGTGTGTGTAGGTGGCACAAATTGAATTTGGGAGTGGAAGCACAAAATAGGATGACAAAAGAACGCGCACTTTGTGGTTACAAATTTTTTATATCCATTATTTCACAGAGTAAAGAGTGTATATGCAGGTATATATATATTCAGATTCTGAGTGGTTTTAGTAATAATGCTATTTTTATCAGTTGATCGCAACTCACCAGTAGAGTGACGTGGTTGAGAGCTCGTTCTATATAAAAAGCTAAGTGAGTAATTATTCGAGTCGTTAAAAGTTAGGTTGCTATTTGGCGAAAACCAGCACACAACACTAATGGATTGTTGTTATGTAACTCTATTACCGAAGTAATTTAGGAGATGCCTTGGTCAGGAAACTATAAGTGACACAGCTCGTATGATTGCGATTTTTGAGAATTAAAACAAAAAAAAAATACAGTCTCAATTCTTTTAAGAGTACATTTATACATATTCTAAGAATAAACAGAAAAGTTTTAAGTAAACAATTAAATATTTTTCGAATTAGATGTGCTTTCTGACGTTACTAACAAAAAAGTCCTCCACTGCTGAGTGATTCTAGCCTTCGTGGAAGAAAGCAAACAAGAAAAAAATGAAAAATTTAGTAATATATGAAAAGGTGAGGTCTCTCACCGAAAGTAGTCTTCTGTCTCTACGACACCATAGTCAACCTCATTATGTTCTATAGGGTCTTTGTGTGATGGAGCGCCCCAGAAGGGTCTACACTTGCAAGGAAGTTAGAGAGCGTTCAACAAGCAGCGCTTATCAGCATGTGTAGTGCTTTAAGGTTCACTCCAACCATAGCACGTAATACCATTTTGCATATGGCGCTCATAGATATCGTCGGAAGTTGTATGGCCATGGAAGTTGCTATCAAACTCAGCGAATGAAGGTTTCGAAACGAACACATGTTTGAACATTCGGAAATCTTCACATGCGTTGATTTTATGCCGGATCTTTTAGATCATGAGGTCGCCAAACTAAACTCTGGCGGCTTGTTCTCTGCGCATATACCTTCGGGAGGGACAGTGAGGAGAATATTGTCAGAAACTCTCTATCAACTTCAGTTTTAGACTTCCTGACTATTGAAGTATTTTTCAAGCCGAGGTTGCTGCCATTAAGGTAGCAGTAGCTTTACTACTCCGGCGATACTAGCCTTGATCTCCCTAATCGTGCATTCGGTGAATGCCTAACCTCGTTATCAATAGCATCGAGTCACTTTGTGATAAATAGTATGGGTGACAGGTCACAGCGGAATCGCAGGCAACTGTAATGCCGATGAGCTGCTAAAATAAGGGTACCCTAGCTCATCTATTAGTAAATTGGGAAAGTTTCGGTGCTCCCCTCTCCTCCTGTGTTTTGCTGCTGTTTAGCTTGACATCGCGGGAACTTGGCCAGCGCTGGGCTAAAATCGGCCTATGCACTGCCGCAAGATCCTTTTAGCCAATGATTGATCGCAAGAGATCCAGTTTGCTGTTTTCTCTCAGTAAGGCTAGCCTCTCTCTAGTTGTGGTTGATCTAACAGGCCAAACGGCCTCCTTGCTATAAAGTTGATAATCTTACCAGACGCCAGCTGCAGAAGTTGTATGGAAGAAGGCGAGGTGGAAACAACTCAACACTCGCTTCTTGATTGTCCCGCATTTGCGAGTTTAATACAAATACTTGGGAGCTTACACTTTTAGATATCTCACCAAACTGGTGGGAAAAGAATTGAAATACCTAAGTAAATTTTTATTGGCCACAACAAGGCATTTTGCTGTCTTATAAGTTCAAAATACAGGAGTTCTATTTTTATGGCTTCACAAAGGCTGCATACAGTAATCCAAGTGCGATCTCTGGATCAGCCATCAAGCATAACATAACCTAGATATGATTCCTACAATGACGCATGTTCGAAATAAAAACTAATAAAATTTACAAAATGGCAATTTTGAAAAATATAGTTTTGAGAAAAAAGCGTTTGAAGATAAACTGATGGAGCTTATTGAACTGATTGAGTTGAGCGGCTACAATTTAGCCGGCCGTAACTCAAAATCTACCATATTTTAGATATCGATTTACAATAAAATTAAACTTTCACACTAGATCTTTTCTTTAAGCTAAATAGAAAGGGAACGAAAATCATAGCGTATGAAAAAAAATTATAGACTTTCGAATTATCTGTTCAGTAATTTTTATATAAGACTAAGATCAAAGCAAACATTTACATGAAATGAAAAACTATATTTTTCCACAGACACCAGCAACATATAACGGTAAAGTTCACAGCAGCTTTGAGAAAAGCTATTTTAAAATACACACAACCTGCAAAGGTGATAAGAATATTTAAAATTTCATTTCTAAGAAAACATAACGGCACACACCACAAATTGTTGGTAACGCCTGAACTAAACCTGTCAAGTGTTTATTTATGGGCCACACTATTATATGCCACAAATCCATTAAGTAATTTTTACCCGAAGGCCGTTGAGAGTGCATGAGGCATAAAAGTTAAACTTGAAGTGCAAACACTCATCAAGGTTCCTGCACAACATGCTGCTAACCTGCAGCTCTTACCATTTTATTTATTTTTTTTTGAGCAGTTTGCCTATTTTACTTTCCAAGCTTTCACGCTTTTGTGTAGGCTTTACCGCGTGTTTTGTTTTTGTTTCAAGTATATAATGCACCTATGCACGCCTGAGAGTGACTTCAATGCACTTTTCGCTTGGCTTTTGTGATTCCCGGGGAGGAATATGGCCGAAAAATAAAGTAAAAAAAAGGCTATACAAAAGCGAGCATTTGAAGAGAAGCGGAAATATGTGCCATGTAACTGCTAAGAAACATATAATATATCTAGCTCACATGTATATAACATATTAATGAAAAATATGTTCATTTACAGACAACAAATAGTACAAGAACTTTCTATTTTTCTTGAAAAATTGAAAATCAACTGTATATGCATATATATTCACACATTATGACATGAATTCTTACACACCTGTGCAACGCACATTAGCTGCATTTCGGAAATTGTTAAACACCAACAAAGTGAGCGCTCAAGTCACAACAGTGTATACTCGTAGGTAATGTGTGTGCACCAGTCCAACCGAGTAAGCGCAAAAACACGCTCAAAGAGAGTAAATGAAACTCATGCCTGCATGCCAATTTCCACGACACAAATTTTATTTCGCTTAGACGAACAGAAAATGTTACAGCTCGTAGCGAAATTCAGCTATTTTCGCAAAAACGTACGAAAAAGATTTCAAAGAAACAGCGCCATCGTCAACACCGCCATGAGTAAGATGTCTACGAACAACGGCCGCCGCATTGCAAACACATAAATCTTTACATTTTATGCTTTCTCGTGTTATTTGCCTGTTTTCTTTGAAACGCCTAGCGAGCGCCTACATATTTGAAGGGTTTTCCAATACGCACATGCGGTTACAAACGATGGTTGCCATATTATGCTTGTAAAGATTGTTGGATTTTTTCGAGAAGACTACTTCAACTAGCAACGCCTTTTCGTACGCGTTTATCCAGCTTTAAGACTAGATATCTGAAGTTTATATCTACATACCAAAACCTCTAATTTTTAGGCGTTCTGCACAACCTTAGATTCGGCATTATATTTCATGCGTAGAATGATCTGACACATGTCTATATCTTTCTTTATTTCCATAGCAGTCCGCCCTTATTGAAAACCCCTGTTGTTTGCATATGCGCCTCTCAGTTTCTGCAATTGCCGCTGCATTTTTCAGTATTCATTTGTATGTAGCTTCATACACTCAAATCGTTCAATAACTGTACGTGCTACAATTTAACTTGTGAAATGTCTTCCGACGTTTATCCTTTAGCGGTTGCCATTTTTGCAACTCTTTAACCCTCTCTTTGCCGCTGGCTTCATTGTCAGTTGTGGTTATGTAGCCAACACGAACTCTTCAATTTCGCTTGTTTTGACATTTTTTTGACTCTGTAGCACATAACATACATATGGACATATATTTGGACACATTTCAGCGGCGAACTAGAAAATCTCAGTCTTACATTGGCTGAACGCCTGAACGCCGGCATCTTTAAAGTTTGCCAAGTCGGTGATTTTTTTATTATTATTATTTTTGTTTTTTTGCAACGAATGCACCATTTAAACTCTCTTCAAAGAATTTGTGCAGCTTAATTTAAATTTCATTAGACGCTCACGTGTTAGAATAATTAAATTGTATTTATTTCTGGGTGTAATTAATTTGTATTGATATGTGTGTGTGCTGAGTGATGGTGACATGCAGCAGCAAGGGTTAAGTGGTTGATTCCTTTAAATGTATGTGTCTTAAATTGTAAGTCATAAATATGAAAGTGTGGAAGGGAGGCTGCTGTATGTGTTGCTTCTTAAATAATAGCTTGCGACCGTCGGTGAAAGCAATAAAAATCTTACATATGATTCATAAAAGCTGTACGTGACGTGGAGATAATTTGTGAGATTATAAATTAATGGCAACTATTTTAACATTGTACAATTTTGTATGTTCGCTACCGAAATTCTATATGTTTTCCAAAAGATAGCTCGTGCGATAGAACTTCGTCTTCGGCAATGTTTGCTCAAAAAAATTGTCTGCGTTTCGAGCCGGAAAATCTATGCTTGATTGTTCTCTATAAACATCAAATAATCAAACTGATATCGTTAAAAATTATGTACTTTCATGAAGGTCTCACAATTTTTATTGCAATATTGGGTGAAAGGCATGATATGGCATCGTTATATGATCGAAATAAAACGTCTAATTTTATGATAGGCGTTTCACTATTCAGTTCAAGTGGCACACAGAAATGTGAAATTAAAAAAAAAAAATCGAAAAATAAAACTCTAAAATTTTAAATCGATATCGGCAATAGTTTATACGCTACAGCATTATAGTGGCTCTGTTAATTCAGTTCAATCACCTCTATCAGTTTATCTCTAACGTGTTTTTCTGAAAAGTACATTTTGAAAATTCCTTGAGTGATTACTTGGAGACAATTTTCATTCTCGATTTGGTACTGCATATTCTGTATATACGTCTCTATACAATGACCTAATAGCTTTTTGATCTGATTACAAACCGAATTTCGGCCCAAAACTACTGAAATCTTAGGTAAAATTTATACCAAATATAAACGACAATATCTGATTAAATCTTTGAACATACTGTTTAGCAATAAATAGTAAATCATTCCGCTGAGGATGCAGAGCTACCTACACTTTCGACATAATGAATTTCAGAAACATATTTATGCCAGTTGTTTGTTCAATTCGCCACTCTCTAAGTTTTGATGAATCGAAAACCGCTAGTGTTACCCAGAAATCTTTTAGAATTGTGTTTGGCGTTGTTATTTAAAAAGAATGTATTCTATTTACAGCTTAAAAAAATTACTTTCTACAAGAGTTTTAAGCTTTTAAAATTACAACACATTGGTTGTACTAAACTACTATAAGCTTGTCCTAGAGTAATTTAGAAAATGTTAAAAATTACTTTAGAAAACTTTAAGAATATTATTCTTGACTTGAACTTAAATATACAGGTTGGTTGAAAAGTGAGTAGTGTTCACCAAGCACCAATTTTTATTTTTCTCAAGTTGGTACGTCTGTCGTGAGAACACGTGTTAGTTACAGGTCATTCTGTCAATTAATTCTTTGTTTACAAGCCATTTAAAGTTGACGTGTCAGAGTATTTAATATGGAAAAAATTTAATATCGCGGAGTGATTAGATTCTTTGTTTTGAAAGGTTTAAAAGCAAAGGATAAATTTCAATTGTTAGAAGGGTATAAGGAGTCCTCACCTTCAAAACGCACCGTTTAAGTTTGGGCTGGTGAATTTAAACGTGCGTAAAGCCTAGTACTAGGCTTGAAGACGATCCACCCGAAGTTCGAGAAAAAACTGCAACCACACCAGAAATCATGCCATAGGCATCTAAGACGAACAAGTACTTTATATTTTACATGAAGATTTACATAAAAAAAGCTGTTTGGAAAGTTAGTGCCGCACACGTTAACTATTCAACAAAAACTGAATCGAAAACAAATTTTGCAGCATAATTTGGAGCGTTTTAAGCAGAATGAAACCGATTTCTTGCGTCGTTTTATAACTATGGATGAGACTTGGATCTACCACCATGATCCTGAATTGAAACAAAAACGTTTACAGTGGACTGAAGCTGGTTGTTTAGCTCCAAAGCAGGTGAAGTCACAACGATCAGCAAAAAAGGTTATGGCATCAGCTTTTTGGGATGCCAAAGGAATTTTGTTGATTGATTATCTGCAGAAAGGTAAAACAATTAACACTGAATATAATTGAAGCCTCTTGGATCAGCTGGATGAAAAAAATTTGTGAGAAAAAAACTGGTTTGCAGCGCAAAAAAAATTATTTTTCATCAAGACAAGGCAACTGCTCACAAAGGTGTTTTAACAATGACAAAGTTCAACGAATTAAAGTACGAATTGCTTGAGTATCCACCGTATTCACCAGATTTGGCTCCCACCGATTACTACTACTTCAGCAACCTGACAATTCATTCGTGGAAAGTGTTTTCCGTCGAATGAAGAAGCTATTACAGCCGTAGACGGGTATTTTGCAGATCTTCCAGGAAAGTCATTGTAGGGATGGCATAGAATTATTGGAGTATCATTGGAATAATTGCATTGAAGTTAAAAGAGATTATATTGGATAAAAAAATATATTTCGTACCAAAAACAGTATTTTTTTTCATTTCGAGCGCGGAAACTTTTCAACCAACCTGTATGTTTTACATATTTTATATCGTATTTAGCTACTGCCCATCTGATTAAAGATTTAACCCAGTGTAAAACAATGTTTTACTACTACTTTCTAAATGTATACTATTATTTTAAAATACACTTCTTTAGACGAATTCATATTTCAATAGCAAAAGACTGGCATGAAATTCTGAAACTAAGTATGACCTTCTTTTCCAAGCAGTTCATTCATCCAATCTTACTTATATTTTTATCTTTTTATCAGTTCAACATTTTATCCCACTGTAATTCAATTACATTTTCATGCCAAACAATTTTGTACAAGTTTAACAAACAAATTTGTGCCTACTAAACATGTATAGTACATACATATATATATGCATATATATATTTAAATGTACATATGTACTTGCCTTCAATTTGAATCCATTACCACCCACTTTTTTCGCTGTGCCAGTAAACTATATAAATACATGTTTGCCATTAGCTATTTTCGCATATGATTTGGACGGCGGCCAAGTTGTGAGACATATGTATATACATACATTTGTATAGGGAAATGTATTGCATACATATGTATGTACAAAGATATCAGAAAATGCATGCTAGACAATGGCTTTGTCAACAAACTATAAAGATGCATAGGTTAGTTACCTTGTGCTCGAAGAAAGTAAAAATGTTCGAAGCGAAACTACAATCAAATTTCGAAATGAATGCTAGTACGTGCACATATATACATAGATTGCTACATACAAGTATGTGCATGTTTGTTTACTCGTGCATTAAGCATTAACAGGGCGAGCCAAATTGTCATGTCGACTAGCTAATTTTCAATTATGATCACAACAACGGTCTACGGTATGAGGTGTGGGTTAAGCGATGCGGAAAAGCAATTCATTTGTAAGCGGAAATACGAACACATATCTACATGCATCGCAAATACAATTGCATTATATATAATGGTATAACTTCAAGATATTTTTATGACATGGTGCGATATGACTTTCTTCCTTAACGTTAAATAAATGCTTTTAATATTATTAATAATAATATGACTATTTTTTGTTTTGTATATTATTTTCATAGCTAGATAGATAGATAGATAAATTCCTTTTGTTTCGCAATTTTCTAAGCCTCGAAGCAATTAAATTCGATTATCTGAATTTTGATGAACCGCAGGCAACTTATGATACTTTAGCTTGATATAAAAATTAATTGTTAAAACTATGCGAAAGTGAGCATTATTTTGAAATGTCTTTCATATCGCAAAGAACATCGCGTGTATGCATTTTATATTTTCTTTAACTGACTGTATAAAAATGTTGCCTACATTTGTGCGCGAAGTTATAAAAAGTATAAGTTAAGAACTTTTATTACTATGCTAAGGTTGTATTAAATTTGCTACGATGTTTGTCACACCCAAAAGGAAACGTCGGAGGCCTTATAAAGTATATATCTGCGTGACGGGCTGAGTCGTTTTAGCCATGTCCGTCTGTCTGTCCGTCTATATTAAAATGCACTAGTCTCTCAGTTTTTGAGTTATGGATTTGAAATTTCGTGCACGTCCTTTTCTTCACATAAAGCTTCTTATTTGTTGGAACCATACAAACTGGCTGTCATACAAACTAAATGATCGGATTCAAGTGCTTGCTTGGAAAACTTTTTTATTTAACGAGGTATCTTTAAGAAGTTTAGCAGAGATTTTTTTTATAACTCATCGCTGCAATCTTCGAAGAAATTGTTTAGATCGGACTATTATATCATATAGCTGTCATACAACTGACCGATTAAATTCAAGTCCTTGTATGGAAAACTCTATTGTTTGTCAAGGTACCTTCATGAATTCAAGGCATTGCTACAATTTTCCGAACATATTGTTTAGAATGAATCACTATTGCGTCTATGTAGCTGCCATCCAAACTGACTGATTAAAATCAGAATAAAGTTCTTTTTATACCCTTTCATGCTATAAAAAAAACACCTCTGAAGGGTATTATAGCTTCGATGCAGCCGAAGTTAACATTTTTTCCTGTTTTTTAGTTCAAATATATTTACTTTTGATTCAAAATTGACGAAAACTCGTTCAACATATCAACTTTATTTCGTGTTTATTAAGCAATTAATTACTTAACTAGATTATCTGATTAAACACAATTTATCTTTATGTGCCATTATTATATTATATCATCAAGAGCGTTGATCACAATTTGATTGCATTTTTCCTGGCATTTATTAATTTAATTTAGAAATTTAATACACCACCATGGCAACCACGCACTTATTTATCACGCTTTAAAGCTTTCAGTATTACGGCGTCAATGCAGTTACTGCATAACTGACAG